TCTTGATCAATGAAAGCGTTTTTGGCAAATGCTTTCGCTTCTGTTCGTCTTGCGACGATCCAAGAATTTCACCTCTAACGTCGCAATACGAATGCCCCCATCCGTTCCTATTAATCATTACCTCGGGGTTCCGAAAACCAACAAAATAGAACCGAGATCCTATTCCATTATTCCATGCACACGTATTCAGGCGAAGTTTTAGCCTGCTTTGAGCACTCTAATTTGTTCAAAGTAAAAGTGCCGGCCCGCCTCGACACTCAGTAAAGAGCACCGTGGTGGGATTGAGTTGGACCGCCCGTGAAGGCTAAGTCCACCGGCAGGACGTCCCGCGGCACGCCAGTTAACACCGCGTGCGATGAACCGGCGGCGCGGGACACAAATTCGACTACGAGCTTTTTAACCGCAACAACTTTAATATACGCTATTGGAGCTGGAATTACCGCGGCTGCTGGCACCAGACTTGCCCTCCAATTGATCCTCGTTAAAGGGTTTAGAGTGTACTCATTCCGATTACGGGGCCTCGGAAGAGTCCCGTATCGTTATTTTTCGTCACTACCTCCCCGTGCCGGGAGTGGGTAATTTGCGCGCCTGCTGCCTTCCTTGGATGTGGTAGCCGTTTCTCAGGCTCCCTCTCCGGAATCGAACCCTGATTCCCCGTTACCCGTTACAACCATGGTAGGCGCAGAACCTACCATCGACAGTTGATAAGGCAGACATTTGAAAGATGCGTCGCCGGTGCTAGACCATGCGATCAGCGTAAAGTTATTCAGAGTCACCAAGTTGTACGATGACGAGCGCGAACCCGCCACCGATTGGTTTTGATCTAATAAAAGCGCTCCTTCCGTCTCCGGTCGGAGCTCTGTTTGCATGTATTAGCTCTAGAATTACCACAGTTATCCAAGTAAATGTGGGTACGATCTAAGGAACCATAACTGATTTAATGAGCCTTTCGCGGTTTCACCTTAATATGGCTTGTACTGAGACATGCATGGCTTAATCTTTGAGACAAGCATATGACTACTGGCAGGATCAACCAGGGAGCTGTTGCGTTTAGCAAAAAAAAAACGTCGCGTGCGTAACACGATATAGAAAAAGTGTGTTTGTTACACGCGGGTGTTTTTTTGTTGTAATCAAAAGAGAGATGCGTGTGAAGCGCGCTCCGGAAAATAAATTTCGGAGCGCCACGCGCTTTCAAATTCTGATACAGACAAAACATACACACATACACGTTTATATTATGCTGTCAACGAACAGCACACAGCACACAATACAACGACAACACACACACCATCCGCCCGCCGTGAACACGCACGCATGCACACACGTAAATATGTATACACACACGGGAAAAATGAATAAACCGTATTGTGTTTGTATATTTGTGTGTTCGACGTGCGCGCGTACACGTACGAGTGTGCGTGTGAGTGTGTGTGCGCGCGTGTGTGTGTGTGTTTATATAAATATATATGTATACGTCTAACGTATTAATACCGGTTGTACCAGGGCGCGCGCTTTCGTCGTCGTCGTCGTCGTCGCTAAGAGTGACTACGATCGTACTAAGGCGCGCGCGCCGTTACGGTAACCGGTGGAAAACTTCGAACATTCTCTCGACCCTTCGCTAGATTGAAAGCGACACGGTGTAATCGAAAAGATAGTTCTACGTTTCGGTTATAAAGACAACAACTGTCGTCGTCGTCGTATTCTCACTCGGAATGAGGAGAGATGTCGCAAATGTGAAAAAATATTACGAAGAGCGAGCTGAAGATCGTCTTTCGTATATTATACACGTTCGATCGCATTTGGACCGCTTAACGGCTGTGCGCTAGCTAAATCCGCGATCTCGCTGTGGAACGCGCGTATATATATGTATATATGTATATGTGTATATATACGCATAATGAAACATCGAGATAAAACGATAGTGTATGTGCGCGAGGGAAGGACACGCGAGGGAGGGACGCGAGCGACCGTTTTTTGTTCGAGTTGCTGCGCCTCCTCCTCCTCCTCACTCCTCCTCCTCACTCACTATCCACACACCGTCTACCGAGCTCGAAGCCGTTTCACAAACCAGCATTCTTTATCATCGTTCAATACATACGCTACATTTATATGATGCGTTTCGAAAAGCGCGGCATCAATCGCACAATTTCCTATAAGGGCTCGAGTAAAATAAAACAAAACTTGTACACAATTTCTAAACGGGCACGGCAAGAAAAACGAAATCTCTATACTCGGAAATTGTGTAAATTCGTATTCCGTCACATTTTACATTTTAGCTAAGCAACAATATCCGTAGACGATATATGAAAATATACGTGCAATTCGATATCGCCGGACCTTCCGCCAGCGATTCTATGGGATATTAGAAATAGTGTATATTTTATATATGTTAGACACATTTTCCATATGTAGTGTCGACACTAATTTCGCAGTAAATGTTTAAAGATGTACGAATATACCTATATCACTGTACGTTCAGTCCGAATTAGTAGGTCGTATTGGAAATTGTTTACATCCCATATTTACACATTTTCCATTAGTAGCGGAGACGTTATTTTCGCAGGCAATCTTCGAAAAAGTACGGACATACATTCCGATATTGGTGTACGTTCAGTGTGCGATACTATGTCATATATTGGTTAAAATAGTCTCTTTTCTGGGATACCAGACCTGGATAGACTTAGGTACAAAGTGACACTGTGACTCTAGAGCAAATGTGCCACGTAGCGCTCTGACAACCAACAGTGACTGGAACACTATGTCATATCGGAAATTGTGTAGAAGTTTTTTTTAAATACATTTCCCATTAATAGCGGCCATACTATTATCGCAGGCGAACAATCCGATATCGCTGTACGTCCGGTCAGTGATTCAACGTCATATTGGAAAGTGTGTAGATCTTTAATATTTCGACTAATATTCCAGTTGTAGTCTCGAAAGTATATACTTGAGCGAACTTCGAAAATGTACGAATATTCGAATAACGATGTACTACATTTCGTTTCCGTGATTCTATGTTTATGTACGTGTATATATACATATATATATATATATATATGATATATATATATATATATATATATATGTATATATACACGTACATAAACATGTGATTCTATGTTTATGTACGTGTATATATACATATATATATATATATATATATATATATATATATATATATATCATATATATATATATATATATGATATATATATATATATATATACATATATGGACATGCTATGCTGTGTTATCGAAAAACTGTAATTTGAAAAGAATATATACATCGAACGGTTCTAATTCTATTATACAGGGTGTCCGCAAAGTTGGGGTTATCCTTTACACGACGTGTAGATCTTGAAAACATAAGCAATTTTTCTTAGTGCCATATACACCAATATCTTAAGGGAACCGAGATAAAGGGCTCTGCAACATCAAAAATATCTGAATACCGTCCTGTAGCCGCCACCCGCCGCGATGCCCCAGACAGGTACCGGCTACTAGCTGAACCCGACGACAGAACTGGGTCGGGGGTGGGGGTCCGAGTGTCAGGTCAGTATGCAACCTTCAACCGACGGTAAAGGGTCACGCGTATAGAGGTATAATAAATATAATAATAATGGCACACTCATATACCAATAATGAACTCGTTGATATGTTGTTAATTTATTAATGAACGTCTTCAAAATGATACAGAATCGTCGCGAGTGTATGCAGATCTTTTCCCTAGACGACATCATCCAAGGCCCCGCAGATTTGTGTACCCGGTCCAGAGAGTCAGGGATACGGGCCATTTGGAGGAATATCGAGGTGGGCACAGTGGGAGGTCTAGACAACCACGAATGGTGCTAGTTGAGGAAGAACTACTGAATCGCGTAGACGAGAATCCCTCAACAAGCACTAGAGACGTGGCTAGAGAAGTGCGAGTATCACAAACTAGAGTGTGGCAAACGTCCAACCTGACGATTTTCCAGCAAGAGTGCGGTTTTGTGAGTGGTTGTTGCATCAACATGACAATAATCCGGACTTTTTGAAGTGCATATTGGTGACAGACGAATCTACGTTCACACGTAATGGGGTCAACTGGAGAGTGAGTACTTTTTCCTTTATATATTTTTTTTACATGGTCGGCCCTCGTTTCACTACGCATTACCTTTGTTATTTCAAGGGTAGTTGTTTCTGAAAAGGAAAAGCCCAACTTTGCGGACACCCTGTATTAACCTTCGGAAATCGTGGATACCCTTATGTTGACTGATTTCGCTGTTGAACAATAAAAACAATGACACTCCGTTAATACTATTAACTGTTAGAACAAGTTACCATACACCGATCCGCGGGGAAAGGAATAAACGATAAGTAATCAATTTTGGGCAGTTAACATCAATTAAACTCAGAATACCAAAATAAAAAGGATTTTCCGTTGGCAATATATTCGGTCTGCTGTTACTTATGGGCTATAAATGTATAAAAAAAATTGTGTTACTTAATTTTGTTATTTTACAAAACGGTCTTCGTCTTCTTCTTCTTCTTCTGCTACGGTCTTCACACACACACACACACACCCTCCTACCCTGTGCGGTCCCTCCACCACCCCTGTTCCAGGCAACCTCAAACCCTTGAGGAGTGGGGGGAAGAGCAATCAGCTCCTCCCCCACTCCCGCCCAAAGGCCTGGAGTGGCGCTGCGTGGTTCAGGCCGCTTGCGCATTCCCCGAGTGTGTGCTGCCGAACGAGCTATCCCCCCTTCCCCAATTTTGCCCCTTTTTCCCGAAATTTGACTCGATCGCGCACGCGTCGCGGAAGCGCGTGGTGGACGTTTCTTCCAACTGTCGGTTCTCGACTTTATGGCCGGCCTCTTTTCTTGGGGGTCCTGCGCTGGGGGCTTTCGACCTAAGCCCCTCCTAAAGGTTGGTGAGCCTTCGCTCTTTCCTCGTCGACTGGAGTCAGTCAGTCGTCGTCAGTCAGTCATATTTGTAAGTCATTCGTCTCCTGAGGTTAGCCCCGAGTCCGTGCTTGACTCTGGCCACCTCAATCGACAGGCTTCTTTTTGTCCACCCGTTGTACACGGGCTGTTCTTTCCCCTCTTGGGTGTACAACTATTGTCGGTCTTCTCCCCTTTTCTTTGGCCTGATCAGCTGCTAGGGCCAAATATCTTCTTGTTGCAGCTGGCTTTTCGGTCTTTTATGACGCCTTATTGTTCTTGGGTCGTAATCCAAGGCGGCTTCAATCAGCACATTTCTTTTCAAAGAACTTTCTGGCCCTCTCTCTCATCTGGATTACGACCGGTACCTGTCGTAGTTCGTCATATAGCACTCTGTTAGGTACATACCACGGTGCGTCCACCGCTTCACGGAGTGCCATGTTTTGTTGAGCTTGGAGCCTCTTCTTCATCGTTTTGGAAACGTAGCCCCAAGCTACTGCTGCGTAAGTCATGATTTGTAGCAGCACCATCTGAATCATGATGGTCTTATTCTTTAGTGACACTTTGCTTCTTCTGCCCGTTAAGGGTCTTAGTTTGGAGCGTGCCATCTTCACTTTCTGCACCCGGTCTTCGACATGGTTCTTCCAAGTGAGTTTCTGGTCCATCTTGACTCCAAGGTATGTGCTGGAGTCTTTCCAGTCGACCTCAACCTCTTCATCTCTTCTCCAGCCTCTCTCCATTCTGGTGGTCGTCATCTTTATTTTGGTCTGAGGTAATCTTCGATTTCTTCGGAACAGTACCGCTTCGGTCTTCTCGGGGTTGAGGCGGATCTTCCACTTGATGCACCATTCCTCTAGGTTGGTGGTCGCTCGTTGCAGATATTCCGTAACCATGCGGGGTCTCGTACTTTCTGCCGCATATGCTGTATCGTCCGCATACACATACAGTTGCGTTTGAGGAGTCTTCGGGATGTCTGAGCTGTAGATTGGATACAGCAGGGGTGGTAGAACCGCTCCCTGCGGTACTCCTGCCTCCACAGTCCTCGTCGTCGAGGTTGTTTTACCGATCCTAATTCGGAAATTTCGGTGCTTCAAGTAGGACTTCACCAGTTGGATCATCCCCTTTGAGTATCCGTGGTCTACCATCTTGTAGATCAGTCCGTCATGCCAAACAGTGTCGAACGCCTTTGCGGCATCCATGAACACAGCTCCCACGGCCCGCCGAGTCTGGAACGATTTCGTTGCCATCTCGACCAGCCTTAGGACCTGGTGCTCTGCTGAATGCCCGCATCGGAATCCGAACTGTTCGTCTGGAACTACTCGGAGTTCTTCGGTTTCGTTCTTCAGTCTTCGTTCGATTACCCTTTCCGCAATCTTGCTCAGTGCCGTCAACAGGCTTATGGGTCTGTAGTTTTGGGGGAACCTTGGGTCTTTCCCAGGTTTAGGAATGTTGATCACCTCGGCTACTTTCCAGTGATCTGGAAAGTACCGGTGTCTCAGTATGGCGTTGACGATGTTGGTAATTGCCATTATCGCTTTCCTCGGGAGTCTCTTCAGGACTCTGTTCCCAATATCGTCTACACCCGGTGCCTTCTTCACCTTGAGTCTTTCGATGATTTCCCTTACCTCGCCTGGAGAGGGCATGTCTTCGATGGCTCTTCCTCCTCTGACAGCTCTCCTCGATCTTCTCATCACCTCGTCGATGAAGTCTTCGTCTTCATCGGGGTGAGTATTGAGAGTACACTGTCTCTGAAGGTTGTCAGCAAAAGCTTCCGCCTTCTCTTCGGTTGTGTACACCATCCCCTGTTCGCTGTGTATTGGGGGGATGGGCTGTCTTCTATTTCTGAGGATTTTAGCCAAGTTCCACATTCCTGGGTCAGCTGGAGATAGTTCGTCGAGTTTCTTATCCCAGGTGCTCTGATGGTGCTGCTTCAAGGCGTCTCGTGCCTGTCTCATAAGTCTGTTTGCCACCATGATGTCAGTGGGGCTTCTGGTCTCCTGGGCTACTCTTCGGGCTCTGTTTCTTTCGGTGATCTTGCGATTTACCTCGTCAGGTAGGTCCCTGAACCTGTTTGGTTGCGTTATGTCTTCCACGGTGGTTGCGGCTTCTAACGCAGCCTTAATCTTCCTTTCTAGGTCCGTGACCGCTTCTTCTATGCTTTCGGGGCTTTCGATCTGTAGTAGTGGTCCTTGTGAATAGTGCAGTCTGGTTCTAAACCGCTGCCAATTCACTCTCTTCACTGTTCTTTGTTCCACAGGTGTTATCCCATCTCCCGTACAGAGAAAGATGGGGTTGTGGTCTGAGCTTCCCTCTTGCATGGCGCCGATGGTGGTGCGCATGTCGATTTCCTTCAGAATCGCCATATCTATGACGTCTGGTCTACCTCCGTTGCTGGGGTATATTGTAGGTTCGTCCGGACCTATCATGGTATATCCAGGTTCATCCATTAGTCTTTCCAGAACAGCGCCGTGACTGTTTCTGTTTCTTGAGCCCCAAATGGTGGACTTCGCGTTTAGATCACCTACGATCACGGTACTGTTTCCCAGTGCAGTGATACAGGTGACATCTTCCAGATATTACGGACTTCTTCTATACATATATATATATATATATATATATATATATATATATATATATATATATAGAGAGAGAGAGAGAGAGAGAGAGAGAGAGAGAGAGAGAGAGAGATAGATGAAAAGATTAAAATAACGACCACAGCTAATTATCATTTTGCATTTTATCATAACATAGTGGTTCTGAAAAGAACCGTTTTTTTTTTGTTCTTATTTTTCGAACCGTATAACCGTCGAAGCGAATACAACGTCTATATTATTTTGAACTGGTGTACTTGGTGACGGCTTTGGTACCTTCGCTGACTGCGTGCTTGGCCAATTCTCCCGGTAGCAATAGTCGTACGGCTGTCTGAATTTCTCTGCTAGTTATCGTGGCACGTTTGTTGTAATGTGCCAATCTGGAAGCTTCCGCAGCGATACGTTCGAAAATATCGTTGACGAAGCTGTTCATGATGCTCATCGCTTTGCTGGATATACCCGTATCGGGATGTACCTGCTTCAGTACTTTGTAGATGTAAATTGCGTAACTTTCCTTCCTCCTGCGCTTCTTTTTCTTGTCAGATTTTGAGATATTCTTCTGCGCCTTGCCCGCTTTTTTGGCAGCCTTACCGCTAGTTTTGGGTGGCATTTTATTGTGAGATGATGCTGAGTATAATCGACACCAACGCTCGACTAACGGAACGACTTTTTTTTTTTTTTTTTTTTTTTTTTAACGAGGGGGGAATGCATTTACGCACCATACCATAGCACGAGCTACGACGTGTGTGGGGCTCCAGGGTCTTGAAGAGATCACCTAATACCCACTAAACCCTAAACCTCCGCGTGGCCCGACTCATCAGCGTCTCGGTAGGCCATGTGTTGTGCGTGACCTGCGGTCTGCTACAACGTCTCCTCATGTGTTTCAGTCTCTGGGAACGCCGGGTTGGTTCCCTTTACCTCGCACATTCTATCGATGTCGTTAAGCGATCATCGATAGAGGGTCTGCTAGTTTCTCTTGAAACTCTTGTTTTCGAAAAATCAAGAGTTTCAAGTCATCTTACCAATATGTTGTTCCTGGTCCTGGTCCTGAAGGGTCCTGGTCCTGGTGGGTCCTGGTCGTGGCGGGTCCTGGTTGGTCCTGGTCCCGGTGGGTCCTGGTCCCGGTGGTTCCTGGTCCTCTGCATCCACGCCGTGGGGGGGGGGGGGGAGCAGCCGCAAATTCTCCTAGTCTCCTAGTCAAGGTTCCAGTTAGCGGGTGCCAACTGGGACCTTGGTCTGGGGTACCTGGTTCTGCGGTTGCGAGGCCTCTCGTCCGGATCGTAGTCCATGAGGAATCGTAGCTGCTCGTTCGGGTGGTCCTGAGCTTTCTCGAAGGTCTTCTCCGCTTTTTTCCTCATGTACTCGTGGATGGTATCCCAATGCAGGTCTCTACGCAAGGTTGAGTTCCTTACGTAGGAAGGTGCATTGGTGGCGATCCGGAGTAGCTTCATCTCTAGAGCAGCAAGTCGCTTGCGGTAGCTGGGGGCAGCGTACCCCCAGACCGCGGAGGCGTAAGCGAGCTGAGGTCTGGCGATGGCCTTGATCAGCCGTAGCTTGGTCGCTAGCGGCATCTGGCTGTGTCTACCCAGTAATGGATAGAGTTGAGCCATGGCTGCTCTGGTTTTTGCGATGACAGCTTCTATGTGCGCTTTCCAGGTGAGGGACTTGTCAAAAACGATCCCCAGATATTTGACATTGTCGCTCCACTGGATATCTTCATCGAAGATGGATGCTTCGAGAGGTCTTGCAATCCTTCTTCGTTGAATGAAGATTGCCTGCGTCTTCTGGACGTTGATGCGGATTTTCCATTTCACGCACCAGTCCTGAATTTGGTCCAGTTCACCCTGTAGTCTCCTACGGATGATCTCGGGTCGTCTATGCTTGGCGGCTATAGCAGTGTCGTCTGCATATAGGGCCAGCATTGTGTCAGCTGTCTTCGGCACATCGTAAGTATAGATGTTGTAGAGCAGGGGGGCTAAGGCTGACCCCTGGGGCACGCCTGCTTCCAGCTGACGTCTTGTTGAATGGCATGTACCAATCTTCACCGTGAACCATCTTTGTGTTAGATAGCTCTGGATCAGTTGGCACATGTTCGCATCGATTCCGGCGGCTTCCATTTTGGCGATGAGTCCATCGTGCCAAACTCGGTCGAAGGCTCGTTCCACGTCCAGCAGGACGAGACCGGTTGCCTCCTGGAGATTGAAGCCGCTGGTGATGTTTTCCGTCAGTCGTAGCGCTTGGAGTTCCGTGTTGTGGGAGGATCTGAAGCCGAATTGCTCTGGGGGGAGAAGTTGCAGTTCTTCTGCCTGCTTCTCTAGTCGAACGGCGATAGCCTTTTCGACTACTTTGCCCACCGAGGAAACCAGGCTGATGGGCCGGTAGTTCTGGGGCAACTTCCGGTCCTTGCCTGGCTTGGTGAGCATTATAACCTGGGCTTCCCGCCACCGCCGCGGGAAGTGGTTAAGTCTCAGAGTGGCATTGGCGATGTTGGTGAGCGCAGCAATGCCTTTGGTGGGAAGGTTCTTCAGCATCCTATTGTTGATGCCGTCCCTTCCCGGCGCCTTTCTGACCTTCAACCTGCGGATGATCAGACGGATTTCCTCTGGACTGGAGGGGTGATCCGTCTCCTGGCCAGGTGGTCGACTCCTCATGTTTTCGGCTGCGACTTCCACGGCCTCCTCGTGGTTGTCGTCCTCGTCTTCATGGTAATTGAGTCTGCATTCGGATTCTAGCGAATCGGCG